GCGCCGATGTACTCGGCTTCCATTGTCGAGAGAGCGACTGTAGATTGTTGTTTGGACGACCAGTGGATCGGAATACCGTTGAATTTGGTGACCATGCCCGTCGTAGAGCGTCGGTTCGACTTGTCTCCGGTCCTGTCGGCGTCTGTGTAGACGTCCATCGATCGTGAGCCGTCGGGTTTGAGCTCGAGTCGGTAGTGCTTCGTCTTCCACAGGTAGTGCAGGATGCGGAGAATCGTGGTCTCGTGGTTGATCTTGTGGTTGTTCGTGTAGCGAGCGACGAGGTTCGTGGCGAATGCGATGTCGGGTCTCGTGCAGCTTGCCAGCCACTGGAGCGACCCGATGATCTTCTGGACATGTGTCTTGGTCAGCTGCGGGCTCCCACCATCGTCGAACATCTTGTGGTCGATCGCAATAGGCGTGTCCTTGGTGTGACATTCGGCCATGTTGTTGGTCTCGAGTAGCTCGTTAATGAGAGAGGTTTGTTGGAGCCACATGGTGTCGCCTTCGCGCTCGATGTTGATGCCGAGACAGCGCGAGACAGGTCCGAGGGTCTTGATCTGGTACTTGTCTTCGAGGGCGAGGATGGCTTCCTTGTGGAAGTCGTCGTCTTGGCTGAACATGATGATGTCGTCCACGTAGAGGCCGAGCATCGTGAGTCCTTTGTCCGTGTGCTTGTAGTAGAGGCAGGGATCGAGGTCGCTCTTGCGGAAGCCGAGAACGTCCACGAGGAATTGGTCGATGTCGTCGTGCCAGAGCTTGCCACTCTGTTTGAGGCCGTAAAGTCCTCTGTTGAGCAGTAGTGCTTGGGTCTTCGGGTCCCCCTCAACCAAGTCGGGGATTGCCATGTAGACGATCATGTCCATGCCGGCCTTGACGTATGCTTGCGGTACGTCAAGGTGAAAGACTTGGACGCCGAGCGTGAGCGCGACTGCTAGGAGCAGGCGCACGCTGGGTTGGCGAATCACGGGCGAGTAAGTGTCCGTGAAGTCAACGCCGAATTGTTGGGAAAACCCACGCGCTACGAGGCGCGCCTTGAACTTGTCAATGGCTCCGTGTGAGTCGAACTTGATCTTGAAGATCCACTTGGAGCTGACGAGGTTCGTCCCCTTGGGCGGTTTGTCCACGAGCGTCCAGGTGCCGTTGGCGATGAGTTGGTCGAGCTCGTGCTCGATGGCTTCGCGCCACTTGTCCTTTTCGGGGCTGGAGAGTGCGTCGCGGACAGTCTTGGGCTCCGAGATGGCGACGTACATGACGTGGCCATGGTGGTCCGTTCGGAGCTTATGTATGCGGTCCGATCGGCGTAGTTGACGCACTTGTTCGGGTGGAAGCTCGGCAAGTCCCGTGGCTTGCGGGGCGACGGTGGTTGGGCGCGACGGGAGGTGTGCTGGTCGTGCGAACGTGACTTCGTCTGCGTCGTCAATCGGCTCGGTAGGCAGCCATGACACGTTGGATTTGGGTGGCGACACGTTTTGGATGTCGCGCGACGTGATGATCTTGCCGGTGCGGAGCACATATACGTCGTATGCCTTGGTGTCAGGGTTCACGCCAATGATGCGGCCGACCTCGGCGCGGTGGAAGATGCCCTTCTCTGTCGGTGGTGCGTGGACGGTACACACGCTTCCAAACGCGAGGACGTGATCGCTGCTCGCTGCCGGAGATGAGCTCGAGTGGAGGTTTCTTCTCGGGATTGGATCGGGTTGGTACTCGGTTCCGTATATAGGTTTGGTACTGGAGCGCGTGGGACCAGAACTTGGCCGGGAGGTCCGTGCCGAATATCATGGTGCGTGTACCGTTGAGCAAGGTCCGGTGCATGCGCTCGGCTTTGCCGTTGCTAGCCGACGTATCGCGCTGCGTCAGCTGGTGCTCGATGCCGGACTTGGTCAGCTTCTCCTCGAACTTGTTGGACGTAAACTCGCCGCCTCGATCTGTGCGGAGGACCTTGACATGGTGGCCGTATTGGTTCTTGACGAGCTCAATGGTGTCGAGGATCTTGGCGATGGCATGCGACTTGCGGCGAATTGGGTGTGACCAGGTCATACCGGTAGCTGCTTCGACTGTCGTGAGGACGTAGCGGTTTCCGTACCGATCGGCCGGTTTGATCTTGCCAGTGATGTCGGACACGAGAACACTGCCGACTTCGTCGGTTGGCGCGGAGCTCGACGTATCAACGTCCGGTTGCTTTGCACGCGTTTGTTTGCCGACGGCGCACTCAATGCAGTGCGACTTGAGGTCGTTCGGGCGCCGCGTCACGATCATGTGCTCCGGGCCCTTCTGCTTTGCGAGCTCGAGGATCGCGGGCTTGTTGAGGTGTCCGAGCGCGATGTGCCATTCGTCGAGTGTGCGCTTACGCGCATGTACAAAATTGGAGGAGCCGAGTTTCGTTGCCTCCGATGACGGTGTTGTCTGTGGCGTTGTCCCGTAGATGTAGAACAAGCCATCGCGCAAGATGCCGACGGCGAGCGTCTTGTCCCCCTGGACGACCAGGCCCTTGTCGTTGCAGACAAAGTGAGTCGAGATGTTGTCCTTGAGGAGCGATGAGATCGAGACGAGGTTCGACGCGAGTGTTGAGACGTAGTGCACGTCATGTAGCGTCATGATGCAGCCGGTGTCTTGCATGAGTATCTGAACGGTGCCCACGAGCTCGGCTTCGATGATCTCTTGGTTGGCAACTTCGATCTTGAGATTTGACGGTCGGGCGTCGAGTAGAAGGCTCGCGTCCGTCACAAGGTGGTGGGAGCAACCAGAGTCCAAAGCGAACGTAAGTCGCGTCGGTGCGGGTAGCTTTCCATTACTGAGCAAGCAGCTTGCTGGGTACCACTTGTCTGCGATCTTCCGAGCTTGTGGCCACGTGCCTTTGAGGGCTAGGGCGACGTGTGCCGAGCCGGTTTCCGTCGTTTGTTGGTCTTTTGTCGCTGAGTTGGCCTTGGCGTCCTTCTTTTGGAGGCGCTTCAAGGCGTAGCAGTCAGTCGTGTTGTGAGTGTCACGCCTGCAGCGCTCGCACCACATTTGTCGAGGATTCGATGGCGTTGGAGACGTGTCCGACGGCTTGTC